GTTCGAGAAAGTCGATTCGCTGGGGTCTTAAACAAACCAATTTTTAAAACAATTCAAAAGTATGTTGCGACATGAAACGAGAGCGTCTTATGGATTAGTCATGTTCTGGTTAAAGACTTATTAACCATAGGCGGCGTGATTAAAAAGTTATTAGGAGGAACAAATCAAAAATATGGTTCGACGAAACATTTTAAGTTTTGTGTGCTTTGGCTATTTGAAATTTTCAATAAAACATCCTAAGTAATTATTTTAATTTATTTGAAATGGGTAATATTTAACACAGAATTCTAATTATATACTAGAGGAATTGTTTTCTTATTATAAAAAATATATACATAAAAACACCAACTGATGACAAATACAATGTATGAATTGATGAATTCTTTCGCTATTCACAATTTTTCTAGCATTTACAACGCATCACCAAATCTTTGTAAACATAAAAAATTACAATATTACAAACAACTATAAAGCACCTATGTGTATAAAAACAAAACAAAAGTTAACGCTATCTAGTTTGGGGTCAGTACATAACAAAATAAATGTCAGTTAGTTTTAATCACAGTATGACTAATAAGTTAAGTAAGAAGGAGAAGAAAAGATCGTTTATTTCCCACAAAGTTACTTATTAGCGACTAGTTTCAAAGACTAAATGGATAGTTATGGAGTCAATGCATTGTAATGTGAATAATTAATTTGTCTACTGTATTTGAGAACTGGAATCGACGCTTCTGTTTGAACCAAAACGAAACCTTAAATTTAGTATGAGGAAGTCACAAAATTTCTATAGGTATACACTTGATATCGCACCATTCCTATATTTGTGATGTTGTCGGATGGATTTTACTTGAAATAATAACGTATCCGTACATAAGCTTACATGTGTTGTGTTCAGTCTCTTACAAAAATAACATTTTTCAGCATTGAGAATCTCAAACTATTGGCGATATTTTTGTGTACGACTGTCGCGCGTGAACTACCTTAATAATTGATACATGTAAACAACTCATTTTAAATTGGTCGGTATTAGATACCATAAGTATTTAGTATATTTACCTGCAGTAAAATTGTTTACAATTCAAAGCCCATTGGTTATATTTAGACAGTACCCTGCGCATATGGGATCATTATTATGTTCCTCCATAATCCAAGAGGGTTTATCGTTTTCATTATTTTGCCTTGAAATTGTATCCTGATATTTCGAAAGAAGAGTCACTTCCATGGTTTTATGCAATATTCAACATTTTAACTGACAGTTGGCAACGTTGTAACCATTTGCAATTATTATATAGGCTCCTTATAAGTGCGAATAATAAACAATATTTTCATATCAATTTGCTTCTAAATGTCAAATTAAACGAATACATGAATTTCTTAGAATACTGAAGACTTTTACGTAAAAATTATGATGCGATAGCTAATTTTACAAAAAAGGCTTACCAAAATATGAGTGGCATGTCACGACGCTTCTGTCAAAAATAAGGGTAGCTTAGATATTAGATTTAAAAGGAGTTTGACATTATGTGTCCGTGTCCACCGCGACCTTTTCAGATCTATTGTGGGACTCCGTTTGTTTTAGAGTCTGTCATCTAAGCTTGGACTTTTTTATTAGACTAATTTTCCTTGACAGTGGCAT